TCCCATACTTCTCCGGCGTACTCTAGCGGCGGTACGATTACGCTCTTCAAAACCGTCAATTTGATGCGTGTATCGAGGTGCCGGTTTGCGAGTATTGGGTGCAGCTTCCCTGCTCGTGCTTTGCCCTTTTCCGCTACCTTGGACATGTGTGCATTCCACGAGCAGTCTTTTGCGATCTCTACTCCGAGGTATGTGTACTGGTTCACTACTGCAATCTCCTCGATCCCCCACTTCCATCTATGTTCTACTGGTTCCTCCTTGTTCTCGTTGCAAACCATGCCCCAAAGGGGGTGTGATAAACCAGGGGGTGTGATAGTACGTCCGAACACGCACAGGTTGTGTTTGGGGTGTTATAAATGAGGGGGCTTGACAAAAAGGGGGTGTGATAGCACGTCCGAATACCCACAGGGTATGTTTCGGGGTGTGGTAATGAGGGTGGGTGTGTGATAAAAAGGAGGTGTTATCACACTTCTTGTAGAGTTGAACCGCTGCTGCCGCACACTTGGTAGGTAGGTATGTGGGGGTGTGATAGCAATGCCTGTACGAAGGCTTCATGACTTGTGGTTCTGCGGAATGTGGTAAAACAAAGGAGCTCAGCGGAGGTGACGAAACTCCTGAGCACATGACTCGTTGGCCACAGAGTGCGCCATCCGTCCTGCCCCCTCACACAAAAAAGTAGCCTCCTGCATACCTTGCTACTGGGAACGACCAAAAGAGAGTTACGCAGATGTTGTGTGTGTGAGATGCCCACATGTCCACGGGGCAGATGTTGTATCACGCCGGTGATAAATGGAGGAGCCCCGTGAATGTATGCGGCGTAACCTGGGGTGTGTTATCTTATGTAGACCCGGTGATAAATCGATGGTTTGTCAGAAACCCCCAAAGTTATCACCGGGGTGTAGTGTTTTGTGGGGGGGGGGTGGTTTCTTATGTGGGTGTTTTGTCTTGTGTCGTCTACGGTAGTCTATGTTCAAGTAGTGCGACGGAATGAATCCTTGGAGTATAGAGCTTAGTGTCATGAAAATAGACAAAGTGTCAAGTCGCTTGTTCTTCAACCCATGAACAGGCAGACAGACACTAATAGCTGCCCTTCGTCCTGACAGCATCAAAACATCTTCCCGATGTACGGTCGAAAAGTCGAAAGAAAATATTGCGATGTAAGTTCATTTTTGTGGTGGCCATAAACTATTACAGCCTTTTCGGAACGTAAATCCCAAACCGTGTCTTCTCTGACGTACTCTCACCTACAGGGCCTTCTGTATGGGCGTGTAGCGCGGTGTCGCCAGCGGCGATCTGATGCCATGGCCGAAGCAACCAATGGGAGGACCAATAGACACACGCATGTGTTTGGTGTGGGCTTCGGGGGTTCGACGGGCGCGTCTTATATACGAAGAGAATGCATCACCAAAACGAAGCGCCGCACAACATGTCACCAACCGGCACAGCGTAGCAGCAGCAGTAGTGGCTGCAGCTAGCTGTTGTTGCTCCTCCTGCTTGGTATCGCTCGAAACCACTCTTCGCAGTTATGGAGAATGGCGCTCGTACTCTCGTCTACACCCCGCTCACACCCACCCGGGTTGCTGCGTTTCCGTTATTGGCAGCTCGATTTTGAGGTTGGCGCGTTCAGCGTTTAGCGGCATCCACCGTACAGGACAGTCCCGCCCAGGATTAGTACGCGAATCTCGGAACGCCTCTTTCAATGTTTGGGTGCCTGCCGTTAATTTTTTTTTTCGGGCCTTGGGCCAGGGGTCAGTCAGGTAGGTGATCAGGAGTTTGGTGAGCTACTCAGCAGACGGCTGTTGCGCGGCCGAGAAAGATGAGCTCTCTGACGTATGCACAGACGTGTTGTTCCGGGCGTGCCGGGCTATGATCCGCTGTCTACAAAGCTGTTGTTCCGGAGGCATTGCAAAAGCTCTTCTATTCTTGTTGGAACAAGGTTGGAAGGCAGATCTGAGAGTCGGTGCAGTGCGGAGTTCGGAGCACAGACTCTGACACGATTATTCTCCGGAGCACGATACAAGTACAGTATGCGAGAAATCAAGAAATAATGATGTCCAAGCGGAGATCATTGCTTTTTGGATCATCCGCTGCAAAAGATACGTATCTATTACTGTATCAAGAATCGAAACGTCCACACACCATGTTGGGTGTCGGAGCAGCCCAAAATGAGGGAGGAGAGTTACTGCTGTAGTCTAGTCTGGTAACCATGCATGCACACTGCGAGATTTCACTCTCTCTTCTCCTGTGATGTGATATCGGATATGTGAACGGAAGAGCACACTTCTGTATATTTATTGTTCCAGAATGTTTTGCTGTACTGCTGTTGTCTGCGGTCAGTTTGCAGCAGTGGCATGCGTCTGAAGAAGGAAAGAGAAGGTTGGATGCTTCCTTCCCGCCTCGGTTACACTTCGCGCGCTTTGGCCCTTTAGCCCCTATGGATCCTTCCACCAGGCGACCACTTGTTGTGCGACCGTCGCCCCGGAACCTTGCCACCAACAGCAACGTCGACTGACTTCATAACGTCCTGAGCTTCATCAGATCTGCAACCCTCGCGTGGTGGTTCGGAGGCCCGGGAATCAACTCTCCCCCTTTCTCTTCGCGCTTAGAGATAGCTGCTCGGAGATTTTCAGCTGCGAAGACGACTGATGCTGTACATTATAGATATCTATCTGGCATTCGGTTGGTTCACACATAGACTAGTCTAGTCGACATCATCATCGGTTATCCACGAGCACGGACGGTCGAAGAGCGCACGCGACGAGACGCAACAACAGAAGAAGATGAGCGAGGACCGCACCCACATGCACCATCACCTGCAGCAGCATCACCCCACCGCCAACAAGGGCCTTTTCGTGCGGCTGAGGGAAAACCAGGAGAGAGACAACACAAAGAAGGCGGAGGCGGTGCTGGCATCGTTTATCAAGAATAAACTAGCAGAACAGCAGCGACAGCGCAGGAGCGGCCACGACGGAGGAAACAACATTTCCGATTCCCCCGCCGGAAAGGATCTCGCTGTGTTACGTCCCAAGCAGCAGCACGGCGGTATCTTGCCGCGGGAGAGTCCTGTACCTCCTCCATACTACGTCCGACAGGAGGTAAACCTTGACGGCATGACAAGTGTTTTCGTGATTCTTGAAGGAATACTCCCATGGCTATTCGGCATTTGTCTACATGTGTGCATAGAACGGGTAGTCTTTCTGCGTTGGTATAGCATAGTCTATATTTTTTCCTAGTAATATAGTCTACGTATGTAATGTATGCGTATCTATGTTCTATCTACCGAATGCCGTTCGGTGGCTTTCGCCGCCATGTTCAACGAAAATAGCACCAAGACACAGGATACGAAAATAGATTGATTGCATTCAAGGGTCCAAGGACGGATGGATGTCGACGCTGTACGTCTTTGCGCGAGCAGGGCAGGAAGGGTGTTCGCTTGGGTGTGGCAAAATGACCGGCAAGCGGAATGAACAGCAAGTAGTCTTATTTTTTTGTGTATGAATCTGTTGTTTGTGCTGTTCCTCGGCTTCTGTTTGTATGTGTGGCTAGACCGAAGTTTGGCTTAGGCGGTGTGATTCGCCTGGTCCACGATGAAAGAATATGTTTCAGTTAACTTCATGCTCAAAATATTGCTGTTTGTTATATCGAACCATATGAGCTTGCGCCCCGTCTGTGAGCCCACACTTCTAGCGACCGTTTGTAGAGGGCTAAGGACGCCCACACTGTCTGAAGCATTAAGCTCCTGTTTCCCCGCAAGATGAACTACAAACCCCAACCTCGGCCTACATAAAAAAGGATTTGAGTACGGGCGCTAACTGTAGTGCGTTTGTTTATGGTTGCCAACCGCCACGCAACTGAGAGATCCTACCAGGTTCAAATACACGCCAAGCCAAAAGATTGTAGGTAAAAAAAACTCTGCACACCAGAAGGTATACCAAAAACACACACACACGCCGTGTGTTTTTTCAATCTTCGATGTGTTGTGTGTGGGTTTTCGCCCTTTTTAATATGGCGACAGTCCCCCCAGCTTTTTGTGGTGAGACGTTTATTACACTTTTCAGTGTATCTAGCGCGCTTCAACTTTCAGTGAATTTTTTCGCACAAGTACAACCATCCAGGGTCACACAGATTTACTTCTACAAATCGAGGTGTCGTTCAAGCGAGGCTTCGGCATAGCATTGCGCGTCTATGCTCGCACATCGAACACATCATCGAGCCAGCAACATACATGTGCACTGCGGCCACTCGCACGTGCTACCCAAAAAACTCATGGCTGTTTTTGCGTCCTGGCTGTCTTCGTGCCCACCAATGGAAAAAAGAAGAAGGAAGACGAGAAAGTTGTCGTAGTCCGCCGAGCGACACAGAGGAAAACGGAGGTGACGCGGGACGTCGTCAACAAGGAGGAATCGTGGCGCGAGCCTCCCCTCCCCCCCTACCGTGACGCCATCAGCCCGGACTTCCAAACGGGTCATGGTGAGTGCTGAAGGTAAAGGTTCCCTGAAAGGGGGCGAGAATAATACAGTGCACTGCTTTGGGATCGTCCTATACTACAAGGAGGCGCCGATCAGCGATATATATTTCGCGATACATTGTTTTGCGTCCAACAACAGATCACGTGTATGTTTGGTCGCGCCACGGTCTAGGAGAACGGTGTATGTCCATTCGCTGTGCATTGCTCTCTCTCTTTCTCTTTCCCTCTGTGTCTGGTTTGGAGGGCAGGCATAAGGTACGCAACGTACCCACCTCCCCATTTCACTTTGTCGGTCCACCAAGCCCCCGACCCTTCCAAATTCGTGCATGCACGTACGTGTACCATTATGGGAGTGGTGTCGAAATCAATGCAATACGTCAATCTTATTCCGGCTATTGTCAGGGAGAACGAGTACACCTTCGTTTACCTTTGTTTCAGCCGAAAGAATCAACAATCTCGAACTAGACTGTGGCAGCGCCTTAGGGGTGCGGCGCTCGTGTACGGTTGCGACAACGCTCAAGAAATACCAACCATGCACAAACAGAGACGTTGCATACAATCGCCCCGCGTCGGTGCTCCTTGCCCCCCCGTGCCCGCCCGGCTGTTCACGCGCGAATACAGAGAAGGCACTGTACGCAGAGCGGGGAGCAGCCACGCTCAACAGTCCCCGCCCAAGTTTCGACACTGCGGCGAGCATCACCACCATCGACTCCTTCGATACGTTTGCGGCCTGCGCGCCGGCCCCGACGCCTCGGACTCGCCCACCCCAACGCTGTCCGACCGTCGCCGAGAGCTCTTCCCGAAAACCCCGGGGCGCGAGCAACAACGGCAACAACGGCAGCGGGCACATCCGAAACGACCCCGCGGTCGTAGTGCACGCGAAGCAACCGATGATTACTACTGCGACGGTCGGCCAGGGGGCGGGGGCGGTACCGGCGCCGCCGGCGCCGGTAGTGCGGTCCCACCCCGTCCACGTAGAGGCGTCGCCAACGTCTGAGCCGTCGCCAACTTCTGGGTGGCTAACGCCGCCCTCGTCCCACTTGGAGCTCCTGCGCTCGAGAATTCGCGGCACGCTCCCCGTCGCCGTAGACTCGCACTCGAAGCAGCTTTCGACACTCTCTGGCCCGGGGGGCGGAGGACGTGCGCGCTCGAACCCGGGGGGGGGGCGGGAGGAGCTTGACGAAAGCTGCAGCCTTGCGAGCATCCTGCCAGGGGGAAACCGATTCGAACACCAGGACCGTTCCGAACCGACAAGCCGGAGCGGCGATGCTGCGCCAGAAGCAAAGCACTTCCTCGGTACTCCGCCCCCCGGGCCGAGGCCACACCCGGGAAGGGATCTCGAAACGTCGCCACAGGACCAGGATCCTACTCCTCCCAAGTCAGGAAGGAGGAGGGCGGGGGAGGGGGAGAGGGGCGACAACGGTGGCGGTGGCGGTAGCGGTAGCGGTGATGGGGGGACGCCTCAGCTCCTGACGATCGGGGTCGCGTCGACTTCTTACCGCTCGAACCCGCCTAAGGCGCAGCAGGGGCGCCGCGGCAATGACAACTTCCCATTTTCTCCGATGGTCGTGCATCCCACTCCAATATCCGCCTTTGCGACTAGCCGCAACTCCTACCACACCGCGACCGTGAGGAGCACGGGCGGCGGCGGCGGCGGCGCCACCGCCGAGATGCGTGTGAGAATATGCGAAAACTCGGAGAAGGAAAAAGCGGCAAGAATTCCTTCGCGGGCAGCGGCGGCGGGGGCGGCGGGGGCCGCGGCTGTAGAGCCCGCGGTCGCGGTGGATAAGCCCCCGGTGTTCATTGCACCGGATGGTGAGCCGGGGTCGTCCCCTTCTGGGTCTCCCCCGGTGTGGGTCACACGGCATATCGACTGCTCAGACACGTGCGGGCTGGTGTTGGTGATGTCGGACAGCAGCGTGGGCTTGCTCTTCAACGACGGCACCAAGATGATAGTCGGCCCCGTCGGGGACATGCTGGAGTACACGGAGCCCTCGTCGCCGCCTACCCACAAGCCCGAGTTGGGGGCGGAGGGGCGGGCACACGGTGGTAGCGACGCCGCCGCCACCGCCGTCACTGCGCTAGGATACCCCCGCCGGAGCGCCTGCGGCGGCGCCACGTCGTACCACTACACGTTGGACAGCTTTCCGTTCTACCTCCGAAGGAAAGTGGCTGCCGTAAGATACTTCCGTGAGCATCTCCTGCCGGAAGGCGGTAGGTTTGCCGACAACACCAGCGAAGAGACTGGGTGCAAATCACCGGCTGTGGCCGAGGCGGCGGACGCGGTAGTGGGGCACGGCCGGCAAGCTCCGCTGGCATTCATCGAGAAATGGCAGCGCGAGGGGGATTCAGGTGGGTGGTTCGCGTGTGTGAAGAAGATTCACCGAGAGAGGAAAAGGGGCATAGACAGATTTCTTTGCCGTTCGGTATAAAACGTGTGGCGTGCTACCGACTACCTCACGGCGGTACGTTCCTGGCCCGAGGCGACCCCAATCCCTACAGCGGCATTGACCTGTTCCCTGAAGCATTGGACTGACGAAAGCCGGGGAGCTACCCGGCCCATTAACCATCCGCGCTCATGCATCCGTGCTCTGCCGAACGCGACATCCTTACCACCCCCCCCGCCAGCAAAACGCGGAGCCGCAACGAGCTTCTTCGGTAGCAGGAACGTCGAGCGATCACCGTTGTGGGTGGGCGGTGGGAGCGAGAAACCCAGCCGGGTCAGAAGACGGAACAACGGTAAGAGGCACGAAACGGCGGGAACCGTTGGGG